AAACCTTATGTCAGAATTCCAGAGGGCATTCTGTCTGGCAAAATTGGAGTTAACAATGAGTGCTACTATACTGCCTGATATAAAAATATCTTGCTAGTTCTGCTCCAGTGTAACCTTACCCTATCTATCTGAATGGGAGTGGTCTGAGGGGGAGATACTTGCTAGACTAGGATTGTTGCCTATAGTCCAGGGAAGCAGGGTAGCCAAACCTGATGTCCCTTCCAAAGGTGGAAAAGTTTCAGTATGAATGAACAGAAAGAAAAATACTAGCTGAGGGTAAAGAAATGAACAAAGGGGTTATATGAGAGAAATCCAATATTATATTACCTTAAAAGAGGCTCAGAGTAAGGGATGACATTATCTCTTAGCTTAATTATACCAAATGCCTGAAAGAGTGAACCTGTATGTTTGCTGAGATCACTCCTGCTTTAGAAGCCTGCAAACCTGAGTGACCTCACTCTGGGAGACATATTCATACAATATGATGGACTGGACACATTATAGCATTAATGACTAAATGAGTTCTAGTAATGCCCCAGTATCTTTTAGGTTATATATCCTTTGGATATAACAGACTTCTTTAGAAGACTGGGAGTGGACTCTGATATTGTGAAATACATATTTGGTCTTTGTCCTTTCTTCCTGGCAGAAATGATGTCTTTTTACATGCTAATGAGTTGGCTGACAGCTGGCAACCCCTAAGTAGCTTCAGAATGGGGGGCTGGTCACCAGAAAGACCAAGACATGAGTGGAGGGTTGGACTTTTGTCTCCATCCCCCAATTTCTGGGGAGGAGAGGAGGGCTGAAGATAAATTGGTCACCAGTGGTTTAATCCATTATGCCTGTGTGTTGAAGCCTCCATGAAAAAAAACAAAAAGGCAGAGTTTCCAGAGCTTCCTGATGGCTAACGATGAGGGAGGTTCTGGAGGACGGCATATCCAGAGAGGGCATGGAGGCCCCTTCCCCATACCTGTTTATTTGTATTCTTCAAGATATTATTTATCATAAACTGGCATGTATAAAAAATATTTTGAATAATCTAGAAGGCCTACTACCTAATAACACTAAAGTGACCATTTGATATTTCATAGAATTTTAAAATCCTGTTTCCTAGTTCTTACACAGGTAATTCTTTCACACTGAATTTCACCAAGATACTGGAATACCCACTTGCCTCTACTGCTGTACACTGTTGCTCAATGCTATTAAGCAGCTGTCACATTTTTCTTCTTGTGATTTGGAAATTGCTATAAATTTGACAAAATTCTTCTAAACCCTTCAGGCATGATAAGTTTTACATTTATATAAATTATTTTCTCTACCTGGAGTCTTTCAGACACTTTTATGTAACTGTGGTCTGCAAGTTAGTAAAAGCAAATTTCATTAAGAGACCAAAAGGATACATGTATATGCAAAGTTAATATTTGCTCAGACAAGAAATCCTTCATGAGCTCACAATGCAGATTTTTTGTGGATTACATCAATGAATCACAAAATGAGTAACAACTAATCATAAAAGGACATTTGGTGACTATTTTAGGTAAATATTTTTAAAAACCTTTATCTTGTAGAGCTACAAGAAAAGTAGCTATGCATATGAAATCAACTCTTAATACCATAAAAATAAAGTCTTATCAAACATAATGCAGATTAAAATTGAACAAAGATAAAGAAACCTTTCCTAACTATGGAAAGAATATATAGAGAGACAGAAAAGAAATTGAATTTGAGATCTTTGTTTCAAGATAAAAATGAATTATTGTAAAATAGACCTGTATTCATAACTTCAGCTCTCCTATTTCAGTTTTGTACACTGCAAGCAATCATAAGACTGAAGAGAAATGTATTATAAAGTCACCTGGGATATTACTTCATAAACATAGAAAGCAACATTAGAAATTGAAATGAGAATAATGAAAATTTCATTTTAAAAGAATGTAAATGGGAAGCAAGGAAAGAACTGTTGAGATACATAAAAGAAAGTCATTGCTTCTTTTGAATTTCTATAAATACTGAAAACTGTTTTCCATTAACAGAATACTGGTGCTACAATAAATACATTTCCCCTTTGTATACAGGGACCAAAACTGTTCTAAAAATGCTTTTTGTGATGATTTGCCAGATGAGGAATTTGCCATCTGCCACCCAGGAGTGTGGTCTAGGAGTCAGTTAGACATCCCCAAACCAGAGGTAAATGTGCAAGCTGACCATGTAGCTCTGTCTGGTTGGGAGAATTTCGGGGACATAGCCCATTATTGAAGAAAATCCTACAAAGAGTTAATCACTGCAGATCATTCAGTATCTAAATCTAGGTGCATTCTACTGTAATTGAGTGTATTTGTTCATTAGTAGCTGAACATTTTGCAGACTATAAAAATTTAAATGATCCTGAGGCTCATTATAGCACCTTGTGCATCACAGATTACTCTCTACCTTTATGTGCCTTTTATATCTTAATTTAGGTCTTAGTGTGACTATATCACTTCATGAAATTATAAACCATAACAAATTATGGAGGAATTGTTATATGCCCTTATAGAAAATAGAGTAGAAAAAATAATGCCTATTTTAGTCCGTCCAATATATTCCATAGCCTAAGCACCAAGTCAAGGGCTTTATTTCATTAAACTTAAATGGAAAAGAAAACAGTTCTCAGGAACAAAATGGCAGAAACCTACTCAGGGATTAAAGAGTATAACTTTTATCAAGATAAAATGAATACTATTTCAAAGAAACCAAAAGAACACTCAACACTGTGGAAAACAAAGAACGAGGGCTTTGGAGCAAGACAGATTCCATACTCAGCCACTTACCAGCTACGTGATCTTGGGCAAGCTATTTAATTTTTGAGCCTGTTTCTGTATCCATATATAAAGACATCTGTGCCTCTGAGCATGATTGTTAGGATTAGGGATAATAGGTTAAGTTCCTAGCATTGTGCCTGATACATAACAGGTATCTATCAATGATTACCAATATTTTTACAGGGTGGGAAGTATGATTTTTTGGTTGTAACCCACAGTTATTTAGCAAAGGCAAGCCAGAGAATACCTGCATTGTGATAGTTGAGCTCCTGGGTAACGAAACTCTTCTAACTTAACCTTTTGAGTGTGACTTGCATTCGTTAGCTGACACCCACTGTTGTACTGGCAACATGGAAAGCCCTTTGCCAGGACCATCCACCACCATTGTGAGGCTAGATTCATCTGGCTAGTTTCAGGAAGACAATACCTTTAACCTGGAGTATGCAGAATGTTAGAGTTGAAAGGGTCATATACTGGCCACCAGCTGCTGCACCATGGACCCCTGCTTCCTCCAAATTATTGCAAGTGTTCCAAGTGTGCATCAAGCATCATCTGATGCAGAAAAACATCTTGCATATGTCTATCTATATGCAATATTCTTTTACTGTTGTGATTAGTATAAATTCACTTTGAAACATTGTCATTCTTAGTAGCTTTTTTCATCATGTTGTATTTTTGCTGTCAGCCATTATAAAACATGACATCAGGGTTGGTGTGCAGTGCATAGGAATCATAAAATTGTTTGACATTATTCAGTAGCCCTCATGCTCAAGAAATCAAGAACTGGTGCTCTTATTTCCAAGGTCCAGGAAAAAGTGTAATATATAAGCTTATACAGCTTATTAAAGAAAACACCAGGTGAGGACTCTTATAATCCCTAGTTCAGAACTTCGAACAATGCAAATGTTTGCATCATTGCTTATGGAAAAAAATCTGTGGAAGTATTTAGTATACAGCTTAGTATGCATGAAGTTTAGTATTGAAAGAGCATAGGTTATATGAAAGACATTTAAAATAGTATCTGGTACATATAAAGCACTCAATAAATGATAACTATTCTCATGATGGCTATTCAGTAAGGAGTGGTTTTGTCACTTTTTTCTGTCTGTTGCTCAGAGTAACTTATTGCATCCAAGTATAACATTTTAAGTTATATTATTTGTCATTCAGGCAAGTAGCTTCTGTTTGTACTTCATAGTCTCAGAATGGGAGTGGGTGGATATTTCAGAAGGCTTTTAGGAGTAGAGGCTCTCACCATCAATACTGAGGCTAACTTCTGAGCCAGGTCCCTGCAGTGCATTTTATTGTAGCCTTGGACAGCTAATTGCCTTTAATTTGTTTGCTTAAGACAAAGCTCAATTTTGTTATTAAATTAACCAGTGATATTTGATGTTTCTGTGAACTGAAAAGATTAAAGCATTTACTTAAATGTTTTTAATCTGCACCCCCACCAAGTTGCTCTAGTCCACAATCTTTATTAAGAGGTTTCACAATAGATCATTACTGATTTAAAATTTGTGCCCAGAGGTAGTCTCTGGAGATTTGGTATCTCATTTCACAATGTGGTCCACAGGTGATAGGGAGCGGAAAACATTGACTGAGAGAGATTTATATCTGATTATTCAAATTTAACAGCCATTTCATAAACTATAAACCATCCAGATTAATCACAGTAATTAAATGCAAAGAAAGGTCCCCTTGGGTTTTGGGGGGTAAATTTAAGACAAGCTTTCTCACTATGTATTTGGTTCCAGGTTATCTTCAACATTCATATTTAGTATGAGTTCCCTTTCTTTAACTATCTAGGAATATAATTTCTAAGCTTAAAGAAAAGAATATGTGGAATTCGCACTGGTACATGTCCAGCCAGAATTCTCTGATAGGGAAGTCACCCAAGGAAATGAGACAAAAAGCAAGTATTTCTCTGTGCTGAGCATGGCCATTATAAGGAAAGCCAGATGACTTACAGTATTTTCCATAAGTGGTTCCCATGCAGTCAGCTTGTCAGGCAACAACCATCAGGCAGCAACCTCATTGGAAGGAATCACCGCAGGCCTCTTACTCTGTAAGAGAGAGGAACCTTACTCCAGTATAGTAAATGGACTCAGTGATTGAGGCATCCAAGCCTCCAGTGGGATCTCCCTCTGCTATTGAGAAGAAATAACCAGATATAGAATAAATACATTAGGACTTAGCAAAATATAAATTTTCTGTAAGTTATATCTGCATTGTTGCTCCCACCCAGTCCATACACTTCAAAATTCACCCAGTGCCCAAATGGACTTTCCTTCAAAGCCTACTTCATGCCTTACCCAAGCCTGCTCTGCTCAACCAGTTTGCTGTACTGTTCAATTTTCCCTTATTTTTTCCCACTGCCAGAATATATCAGCCCTGTCCTCCTAATCCCTTAAGACTTTGAAGTCTATTCAATTATCTGTTCAAATAATTTATGCTAAATTATGAGTAAGTGATATAATAATATGTACCTCACTCCCCACAAGTAACGTATTTGCATTTTAACAGAGGCTTTAAGTAAAAGAGAAAACTCAAATACCAGATATTCTGCATGAACTGACAGGTAGCAGGAAAGATCCTTCGAGAATAATCAGTCATTTGCTATCACCGTAAATATCTGTAGGACATTGAACCAACGCTGAACAAAAAAGCACAAATTATGCTGTCACTCTACATCAGTTGATAACTGCATTCAAAGAAGCAGGACTTTTGTTTTCACCTCCCAGAAGTCTGTGGCACTGGAACAATTTTTCAAAGAAAGAGAACAGACACACTTTAATAGTGGGACTAATTTTCACAGTTTAGCAGCTGCAGGCTTTCTTTGGAGACTCTTTTAGAAATAAGCGCCCCATTAATAATGGGCACAGAACTTGCCAAAGACAGGTAAGCAGTATAGCAAAGGAGGTTGCAAAGGGAAGAGAAGAGATGAGGAACAATATAATGAATGGAAAACTGAGAGTGAAGTCAGCAGTGCCACTGAAAATGAGGAATGTAGAGAGATTTCATATTTATGTATTTTGTCCAAAGGAAATATAAGGTAGATTCTGAAATGGGAATAAGCAACATCTGACTCACAGAAGAAGCTGGCTAGCCATTTATTTTTTGGTCAATCTCTGATCCCATCATTTTCAGCTAAATAGCGGCTATGGTATTGCCTTTTTTTTTTTAAAGGGCTCAACATAGCACCTTTGTTGCCAAAGACACCCCACCTTATCCAACCTGTTTCCTGGTATGTTCTAAGAGACAGTTTATGGTTCCACCTCTGTTACTGTGTGCAAAATTCTGCAAGAAATAGGCAATCTTACTCTCCTTCCATCAGGACAGTCATATATTATTTCAAAGCAGTTTGGTGACATTTGGCTTTTCATTAGAAAACAAGATGTTTATATGAGTATTACATAGGCCATTTGTTGTTGTTTTTTTTTAAGGGGGCGGGGGGGAGTTTGAAGTGTCACTTCCTTTCCTAAAGGTCACCAATTTTGGCTCTTATTTAAAATTCAGAAGTTATGGCCATTGGTCATGGATTAAGTTTTTTGTTGTTTGATTACATCGTGAAAGAGAATTATATGCTATATTGAAAAGTATTATAGTAGATTGCTAAATTTACAGATTCTGGAGCTGCGGTGTTGGGATTCAATTTCTACTTTCCTTTACTTACTGGCTTTGTGACCTTGGGCACGTTGATTAACTTCCTGGGCTTCAGTTTTATCATCTGTAGGAATGGAGATCATAAGTACAGTAATTTCTGAGTGACCTAACATATGAAAAGTGCTTCTGGTAGTACCTGGCATATAGTAAATACTATTTAAGTTGGTTTTAGAAGAACTAAACTGAGTGGCTTTTATATTCATATGAAGAGAAAGTTGTCAAATAGTTTAATTAAAAAGGGTAAAGAAGCACAGATTTCCTAATGCATTGTTTCTGAGGCTAAATTCAAGTCTTCCTATGATAAACGAACAGTTTTATATGTGTGTGTGACTAACATTTATTGAACACTAACTAAATGGTTTATATATTTCATTCACCTCATGTAGCAGGTACAAATTATTAACTCCATTTCACAAATGAGAAAACCAAAGCTAAGAGTAAGTAAATTTCTGGCTGTGCGCAGTGGCTCATGCCTGTAATCCCAGCACTTTGGGAGGCGAGGTGGGTGGGTCACCTGAGGTCAGGAGTTTGAGACCAGCTTGACTAATATATTGAAACCCTGTCTCTACTAAAAATACAAAAAATTAGCCAGGGGCGGTGGCAGGCGCCTGTAATCCCAGCTACTCGGGAGGCTGAGGCAGAAGAATCTCTTGAACCTGGGAGGCAGAAGTTGCAGTGAGCTGAGATTGTGCCATTGCACTCCAGCCTGGGCAACAAGAGCAAAACTCCACCTCAAAGACAAAAAAAATAAAAAATAAGTAAATTTCCAAACCTCCAAGAGCTAATAAGTGATATAATATTTAAAAGTTGGTGCATTTACCATATATGAAAATGGATTAAAGACTTAAAATAAAACCTGCAACTATAAAACTACTTGAGAAAACATAAGAGAAATGCTTCAGGACATCAGTCTAAGCAAAGGCTTTATGGCTAAGACTTCAAAAGCATAGGCAACTAAGGCAAAAATAGACAAATGGGACTATTAAATTTAAAAGTTTCTGCACAGCAAAGGAAACAATCAGTATACTGAAGAGACAACCTATAGAATGGGAGAAAATATTTGCAAACTATTCATCTGACAAGGGACTAAAATCCAGAATACTCAAGGAACTCAAACAGCTCAACACTAATCATAAGGAAATGCAAGTCAAAACCACAATGAGACATCATCTCACCCCCATTAGAATGGCTGTCATCAAAAGACAAATAATGCCAGGTACAGTGGCTCACACCTGTAGTTACAGCACGTCGGGAGGCCAAGGTGGGAGAATCACATGAACCTGGGAATTGGAGGTTGCAGTGAGCCAAGATCATGCCACTGCACTCCAGCCTAGGTGACAGAGTGAGATTCCATCTCAAAAAGAAAAAAAACAAATGTTGTCAAGGAAAGAAACTCAGTATATCAAAGGGATACCTATGTTTATTAAAGCACTGTTCACAATAGCTAAGATAAGGAATCAACCTAAATGTCCATTAACAGACAAAGAAAATGTTTATATATACACAATAGAATACTGTTTATCTGCTTAAAAAAAAAAAAGAATGAAGTCCTGTCATTTGCAGCAACATGGATGAGCCTGGAGTACATTATGTTAAGCAAAATAAGTCAGGCACAGAAAGATAAATACTGCATGTTCTCACTCGTGTGGGAGCTAAAAAAAAAAAAAAAATTGAGCCTCTGGAGTTAGAGAGTAGAATTGTAAGATACAAGAGACTGGGAAGGGTAGAGAGGTGGGGAGGATGGAAAGAGATTTGGTTAGTAGATACCAAAATTAAAGCTAGATGGAAAGAGTTCTGATGTTCTGCAGCAGTGTAGAATGAATATGGTTAATTTATTCTAGAAGCTAGAAGGGAAGATTTCAGTGTTCATGACACAAACAGTAAATGTTTGAGATGATGGATATGCTAATTACCCTGATTTGATTGTTACATATTGTATATACATATCAAAATATCACTGTCCCATAAATATGTTCAATTATTATATGTCAACTAAGAATAGGAGAAAGAAGCAATGGAAACATATACTCAACAATTGTCAACAATAAAAAGGTAAATAAATCTACCAAGCAATACACTTGGTCTGTATGGAGGAAATTAACATTTTCTGAAGGATATAAAATAGAATAAATGTCAGAACAAGCAATGTACAATTAAAGTCAGGTTAATGAATAAATATATACATGTGGTACAAGTGGATATAATAAGACTATCTCAATTTATAACAATGAATCAAATGAAATTGGCAAGGTCTGATGATGGGAAACGTTTGGTCACATTATTTTGTGTTTAAATTTTTAAAGAACATATATCTGTGTATAAATGATATAACAATTATTAGAAAATTATGTGAGTCATATATTTTTAAAAGTTGGTGCTTTTAACTACTGTAATGTCCCCCAAATACACTTGCAGCTAACGATCTAAATATATTTTGTATAAGATAATTCTCCTCTTTTTATCAGAATATAGTAGAGCAAATGAAATATGCTTCATATATTCCCCACTCCCTGGGTTGTTGGTTTTATGCCATGTTTCAACCAGAATGAGGAAACTCCAGGGCCTTAAAGAGGTTTTCTTCTCATAAGTGCTAGTAGTTATTTGTGGCTCAATATTATCCACACCCACTGGGAATAGTTTTCATATAAAAAGAAAAAACAAATATTTTTCTAACTCATTTTTTACATGAGGAATAAATCCTGACTTTGTAGAACCATAACAGCAAGTAGTAAACAATGTTTGGGGCAAAACAGCATTGCAAAGGAGAACTCTGGCTCAGCCTCATGATTTTTCCTGGCTTACTGTAGGATTCGCTGTAAGAGTGAGCATTGCCACAGAACAAGACATGCACCATTGTACTTTCTAGACAGTGAAGAAAATTTACTCATCTCTATTGTCCACTGGCATTGGAGTTCCTTAACTGCTCTGTTCTTATTTGATCCTTAATTAGCCTGTCTCATGTTATGTATGACTTGTAGGACACCTCTGGTACACACTCAGAAGTTTGAATCTTCAAATAAGATTTTTTGGCAGACATAAGTGGAACATTTTCATCTCTTTTTGGCAGTGAGCAGCATTTGCTGTTATATCCCTCTGCCTGTGGGAGATATAGCTATCTCTGATACCTCGAGTGAATGACAACGCCAGCCTATTATGAGATTTCTCACCTCTGAATTCCTATAGGATTTGCAGTCTGTAACACAGAGGCTCATGCTGATTATTCTCTAGCAGTTTCATCTGTGAAGAGGCCAGGATCACAAGTGTCTCCCCCAAAGTGTGACTCAGGACTGGGCAATAGTAGGCTTAATAAAGAAGAGAATAGAGAGAAAAGGAGGAAGAAAGGTGTATGATTGCCTTCTCTTCCAAATTAGATTGTCAGTTTCTTAGACACCATATCCTTACTTCTATCTCCTTTAATACTTATTAAAATATTTGGCAAACTGAGTACGCAGTGCATGCTTATGGCCTAAAGGCCTAAGGTTTTATTTAATTCATAGGGTATCTCTAAAAGATCCCATTTCCACTCACTTGAACTCAGTGCAGCCTGAAGGAAGTAGCATTTCTGTAAACGTTATTGAAATTTTATTTACACTGAATTGAGATATCTCTAAATTAGTTTTAGATGGGCCTCTCATAGAACTACAGAGGACAAATCTCTTAACTGGTGGTGCAATGAAGATAGTTATGACAACAGAAGTGTACGTAGCTATAAAACATAGATATTACTCTGAAAAAAGTACCAGCAATGAAATCCTATACAGGACTAAAATGTTGCGGTGACTAAAAATTCATTGTGACCAAGGGTGATGGCGTTTGGTACACTGACTAGAGTTAGGAGATGTGTGCCATTATACCTCTACCAAAAAAATTAGTTGACTATACATATGTGGGTCTATTTCTAGATCCTCTCTCTGTTCTGTTCAATTGCGCTATAAACATTTTTACCAATACTAAACCATATTGAGAACTGTAGCTTTCTATTAGGATTTGAAATCAGGTTAGGTAAGTCCTACAACTTTGTACGCCTTTCTTAAAATTACGTTGATTATTGTCGAATGCTTCATTTCCATATACATTTTAGAATCCATTCATCTAGTTCTACGATACATCTGTCAGAATTTTTGGTTGTGAGTGCGTGAAATCTATACATTGATTTGGGAAGAATTGGGATATTAATGATACAGAGTTTTCCACTTCATGAATGTGAAATACCTCTCCACTTATCCACATATTTCTGATTTTTTTCCAGTCAAGTTTAAGTGTAAGTGACTTATCTTTTGTTAGACTTATTTTTAGGTATTTGCTTTATGGTACTACTGTAAATGGAATTTATTTTCCAATTTTTTGCTGCTTACAAGAATACTTTTTTGTGTATTTTTGCAGCCATGTAGAATTCATTAATTCTAGTTCTTGTTATAAACCTTCCCAAAGATTTTCTATGTAAAAAAACATCAGATTTTCAAATTGAAAAAGACATAAAACAAAAAATTGAGAGGCAGATATCAGAAAAGAAGTAAAACTATTTCTAAGAGATCCCTCTGACAAGAAGAGGTGAAAACAGGTATCCTTGCTTTGACCTCAATAGAAAACAATTTAGCCTTTCACCATTAAGTGTGTGATGTTAGGGATTTAATTTTTTGTATAAGCCCTTTGTCAGGTTAAATAAATGCCATAATATTTGTAGGTTGTTGAATTTTATCATGAATGGGTTTGAATTTTTGTCCGATGCTTTTTCTGTATCAATTTGAATGATCAGATTTCTTCTTCCTATATTCTGTTACTCTAGTGAATAACATCAATTACTTTTAAAGTGTTAAATCAACTTTGTGCTGCTCGAACAAGCTCTGCTTGGTTATATGTTACTATTTTTATATATGACTCTCTGTATCTATAAGTTCCTCATCTGTGGATTCAACCATCCAGAGATAGAAAGCTTTTTTCTTAATGGATAGTTGTGTCTGTACTGAACATATACAGACTTCCTTGTGATTATTCCCTAAATATAACAACTAACTATTACATAGCATTTACAATGTATTATGCATTATAAGTAATCTAGAAATGATTTAAAGTATACAGGAACATGTGCATATGCAAATCTACACCGTTTTATATCAGGGATTTGAGCATCCTTGGATTTTGGTATCTGAGGGGGGTCCTGGAATCAGTCATGGATCCCAAGGGATGGCTGTCTATGAATTTGGTTGTTGAATGTCCTCCCCACCAGAATTAGACTTTGGCAGATAAGAGTGGTCAGGAAAGAACTCTCTGAAGAGAGTGTTTGGGCTATGAATGAATGAAGAGAAGCCAGCTATGCAAAACTGGAAGAACACTGGAGGCAAAGGGGAACAGCTAAGTGCAAAGGGTATACAGTGCAAATAAGCTTGCCTCATTTAGGGAACTCACTCATACTGCATTTGAGGACAAAAAGAAGCCCACTATGGCTGGGATATAGTAAATGGCAGGAAGACTGGAAAGATGAGGTGGTAGAGAGAGAGACAGGGCCAGGTGCAGCAGAAAGAGAGTTGCCAACCTCTCTGGTACCTCAGCCACTTTCCAACCTTTGGGAAGCCCTGACAATAGTCTGTCAGAGTCTACTCAGTATCTGCTAGGCACATACAGCTATTTAAATGTAATTAACTAAAAGTATATAAAATGAAAATATCAGTTTCTTGGTCACACTAGCCACGTTGCAGGTGTCCAGCAGCACATGTGGCAGATGGCTACTTTATTGGACAGCACAGATAAGAACATTCCATCATCATAGAAAGTTCTGTTGAAAGTGCTGTTCTACCAGGAGGCGGAGGTTGCGGTGAGCCGAGATCGCGCCATTGCACTCCAGCCTGGGTAACATGAGTGAAACTCCGTCTCAAAAAAAAGAAAAAAGAAAGTGCTATTCTAGGAAAGCCAAAGGAGAAATAATGCCAAGTTTGTTTAGCCTCTCCTCTGTGACCTCTTTTAAAGCTATAATCGGTGTTTTTCTATTTAAATGAAAATATATGTGATACCTAGAAAACTAGCATGTGGCCTATTCCATATGCATGTGTTCTCATGGGTGTTTTTTACCTAGGACAGAAAAGATGAGGAGGACTGGTAAATCACAAGCATTCTTAACCTTATTATAAATACATTGCAAATGTAAAAATGCAAAGTGTGGAAATCATAAATGTGAAAGTGGCTTTCGATTTAATAGTCATTTTCTATGTCTTACTGTAACCTAGGGACCTTGCTGCAAGAAACTGCCTGGTGGGTGAAAATAATGTTCTAAAAATCAGTGACTTTGGAATGTCTCGTCAAGAGGATGGTGGAGTGTATTCATCTTCTGGCTTAAAGCAGATTCCCATTAAATGGACAGCACCAGAAGCTCTTAATTATGGTAAGAACAGATGACATTTTTTCTTGGTGGTGAAAAAGAACTGCCTCAGCACAAAACATTCACACGCAATATTTACAAGGGGTAGCACAGAACGCAAGTTAGAATGATTTGAGGATCAACACAAATGAGTAAATTTCATACCTTTTAATTTGTTGAAATTATGGATCAGATTTCCATATGTTTAATATTGCTATATTAAAAAGGTAGATATAAGTACTTTTAAATATGACTATCCTTCTGAGAAAGAGTTTTTATACCAAAAAATGACTTTTTAATAGATTATACACAGAGTAAGTGTTGCTGTGGCTCTGGACCATTTGTTTTGACTGTCTTGTAATTGGTCCAATAACCTCATCGAATGCTAGGTTTCTAAAATATTAAGTCAATCACTTCTTTACTTTTTCACTCCGAAATTGACATGGTTTCTTAGCATCTCAGTCTCTGGAACTGATACAAATCTTGGGCAAAAAGGAGATGGGAATTACATATTAAAACAGTAGGGATTTTTTTCACTTGAATTTTTATGTGTCATTGTAATTGGAAATAAATATAACTTGTACTATCTGTGGTTGGGATGAAATGGGCCATAAGAACATGGCTGACAACTCAAGAATTTAAGACAAAAAAGAGTGTGCTTTAAGTGAAATTAGAAATTGTATTTTCATTAAGGGAAGCAGCATATGAGCCATGGATTGGTGAATGGGGTATGGTATGTTTTGAATCAAAATATAAAATGATTCTCTGTTGATTTAAAATGAAAAATTACCTCATTATGGAAACTAATTTGTAAAGCATTTATAAATGCCTTACTTCCTAAATTGGAGAAAGCTTTTTTAAAAAATTGAGGTGAAATTCACATACCATAAAATTAATTTTAAAGTGAATAATCATTGGCATTCGGTACAGTTGACAATGTTGTATAACCAGTACCTCTGTCTAATTTCAAAACATTTTCCTCATTCCAAAATAAAACCCTGTCTCCAATAAGCATTTTCCCCCCATTCTTCCATCCTCTCACCCCCAAGTAGCCACCAATCTGCCTTTTATTTCTATGGATTTACTTTATATGGGTATTTCATACAAATGGAATTATACAGTATGTAATATCTTATGTCTGGCTTCTTTCACTTAGCGTAAGATTTTTGAGGTTCATCTATGTTGTATCATGTATCAGTACTTCATTCCTTTTTAGGACTGAATAATATTCCATTGTATGGATATACAACTATTTATCCATTTTTGTGTGTTTGGGCAGTTTTCAATTATTCTGGGTATATACTAGAAGTCATATGGTAAGTTTACGTTTAACTTTTTGAGGAACCACTAATGTCATTGGTTTAGAAGCTGGTTGGGGCTGACACAGCTACCATAGTTACTAACCCTCACCCTTTGTTTGTTTTCCAGTGTGTCAGCATCTAAGGTTCTGATGAGTTTTTAGTGATTGTAAGTCAGTTCCACTATGCCTTAGAATCTAGAGAAAATAGCAGACCTGCTATTTTCCATAGTGATTCCTCTCTGGAGTGACTGTTATTAACTCTAGGGTTAGATTATATTACTAAGGGGAATGATCACAGGATAAAAGATAGATTATAATACTGATATTATTTACACAAAGGTTTTTGTTAGATGACAAAACATTTTCAAGCGCTAAGGGAGCTGAAACTCGGCCTGGGAGTCCTTAAAGTCTTACCAGTAAAATCCAGTTCTCTAGATTTTGCTCTTAACTGTTTGCCAGATTCTCTATGTTACATAGCCTTTAAAAGTCCTCTTGCTGTTAAACACTTTTGCCAAGTTAAATTCTGCCTCTTGATGACATTGTATTTTTTTAATTTCAAACTGACTGACTAAAGTGCTGTATTTACAAATTAAAGTTCCAACTCTGGATACATCTAACAGCCAAACCTAAAGCATTTTAAGTAATAAGAACAAGTCTAAGGTATTTTTTAATTGAAACAGGATCTTTCTTACTTTGTCACCCAAGCTGGAGTGCAGTGGCATGATCATGGCTCACTGCAGCCTCAACCTCCATGGCTCAAACAGTCCTCCCACATCAGCTTCTGGAGTAGCTGGGACTGCAGGCATGAGCCACTGCGAGCAGGCTCTGAAGATCTTTGATCAACAATGAGGGATTTTTTTAGCAGCCTTTAGTAAATTTTGTAAAGCGTAGAGCAACTTAATATGACAAGGACAGAGAAATTTTGATATAGGACAGGTTTAAAAAAGCTAGGTTATAAGCTTTCACTTCTGGAGTGTGATCCTGGTTTATATGTAATATGCTTCTATTGATCTCTGCCCAGATATTATCCTACAAAATAAGCTATTTGACTCTCTATAACTTATTTTCTTAAAGAATTAGTCTTAACATATAGCCATAGAATGACTTTCATGAAAAGTATTAAATTATGGAATGCCAAGCATGAAACGAGTTGATGTGCAGACAAGCAAATTAATCCTCCTGCCAAACAACACAGTGAATGTCCATAATTACTATCTACTAAGAAGGAAGCTAATTCACACAGCTAGAGCTGATAGTTAGTACAACCCCACACTGATGTCAGAGCAGCTATCATAGCAGGCATACTCGTTTTCATTAAGTGTTTTTTTTTTTTTTTTAAGAAAGTCCATCCTATTTTAAAGTAACATGACAGTTTTGGAGGAGTTGCATTTATAAATCCTGCAGTGGCAGAGTTTGAGTGATAGAAAATGAAATAATTTAAGAATCTTTAATACCACTGTAAATGGAGTTTAGTTATGGTAGTATATGTAGAAATAAGTAAAAAATACAAATATGTTGGGAACATCTTGGAAACTCTTAGCTTCTTAGAGAGGCTAGAGATTGGAAAAGACTGTTCTGCTTCCCCTCCTTGATTCCACGACATCTCAAGATACCCTGTGTTGGTTTGTATCTCCGTGCTTCTCTAAGAGACTACCAGAAAATTCTAAAAGCTTAGTTCATGTAACTCAGTAAAACAGGTGCACCCAGATATTTTGACAAAACAAAGCACCCTGTAATTTAAAGGCGTTCTTATTAGCCAGCTATGTTAATTTCCACTGTTTAAAACACACAAAAATATTTTTCATATATGAAACTCAGTGGAGACAATGAGACCTTTAAGCATGTAGGAACATCTGTAAACAGCGATGAGTGAAAAACTGAAGTTAAGAAACTTTCCTAATTGCTTTAAGTTTGTTTGTAATTTTAGTGGAAAGAAAATGATACAGGCATAAGACAAAATTGCAGTAATCCAACTTGGTTAATCTCCTAAAATTGATATGTACAAACATATATCTTTTTTATATAAGCCATCCATCTCATTCAGATACCACAGGGAAAGTAAGCTTGCACGCTGGCTGCATATTGAGTGATTTGGAAACTGGTTTGATTAAACCAGAAGCCTGAAGAATACTTATTTAATTGATGATAATATTACTAGACCTGGAATATAAAACCAGTCAGGAGAATAGGAAGACTGCGTATCGAACTCCTTTGGCAAGTTTAAATTTAGTCATGTATCACTTAATGACAGGGATCTACTCTGAGAAATGCATCATTAGGCAATTTCATCATTGTATGATCATAGGATGTACTTACAGAAACTTAGATGGTATAGCCTACTACACATCTAGGCTACAAACCTATATAGCATGTTACTGTATTGAATACTGCAGGTCATTGTAACACAATAGTAAGTTTTTTTGTATCTA